TCAGTCGGCTATAACAAAGAATGAAATCTGTCCTTTGCTACCTGATGGAGATGGAAGTTAGACTGAGAGAAGTTGGATATGTACAGAAAGATAAATCTTGCATATGTGGAGTCTAAACAAAAGCTAATCCCAGTAGTTAGGATTACAGTGGTGACTGTTAGAAGCTGGGGGAAGCTGTGAGTCAGTGGGAATGAGAAAGGTTGGTACTGCTGTCTTCCTGGATGGACAGTTAAGTCACTCCGGCATCAATTCATCAAGCATTTATTGAGCAATTTCTATGTGCTGTCATAGAGAAGAGGACAAGGACACCGTTCTTTTCCCCTTTGGTTTTATAGTCTAATGAGAAAGACTAGACTGGCCAAGTAAGCACAGCCCAGCCCAGCAAGTCTTCCACATTCCAGATCTTGACCTAGGACCAGAGAGCAGACAGGAATGGCTGTAGTCCACAGGGATGTCTAAGAGAGTTGCAGTTTCTGAGATGGACCTCAAATGCTGTGGGGATGTGGATATGTTGGGGTGCTTGGAAGAAGGAATCATGTGAGGACTGGTGGAGGGGGATGTTCAGAGATCGACAGGTTGTCAATTTGAGCTAGTGAAGGGCCACATCATGGCTGCCTAGAACTCTGGGTAGATGATTCATTTACTGAGGTATAGTTCATTGATGATAAAACTCAAAGAATAGCCGGGCGTTGGTGGCGCACGCCTTTAATCCCAGCACTTGGGAGGCAGAGGCAGGCGGATCTATGTGAGTTTGAGGCCAGCCTGGTCTACAAAGTGAGTTCCAGGACAGCCTCCAAAGCCACAGAGAAACCCTGTCTTGAAAAAAAACAAAAACAAAAACAAAAACAAAACTCAAAGAATAAAATTAGACAATAATTAACATACTCACAGACATATGCAACCAAATGCACAATATAATTTTAGACTATTTTTATCACTCCCCCAAATTGAAACCTCATACCTGTTAGCAGCTCCCCAACCCCCCACCAAACCCTGCCAACCACTATCTACTCTGTGACTATTTGAACCGGAAAGGTGATTTCTGCATAATTTAAAAGGGGGTCAGGAGCTATTGATAATTTTAACAGGCAAAATGTCACATGGTGACATGCATAGATCTTAAGGGTTCAACTTGGTGACATCTGGAAGCCAACATTTCATTTTACTGCTAACTAATATGAACACTCCATGTTAAGTATATACTCATCTGCTGATGGGCATTTGAGTGGTCCTCAGTTTATAAACAATTACAGAGACAAGAACTGTAAACTTTCATGTGTTTGACAGGAGGTGAGTACTCAGCTAGGGACAGCAGTGTTTAAGACTGGTGACACGCAGAGGGTAAAAGAATTTATTAAGGCAGAAAGGACAAAAGTGGAGAGTTTATTAGATACACTGTGGTATGGTCTCAATGGGCAAGACAACAGAGAGAACCATCTTGACAGAGGCATCTGAAGGGCAGGCAGGCAGGCAATGTTTCAGTGTCAAAGTGCTCTGAAATAATTGCAATTGGAATTTACTGTAGTTAACTATAACCCAGGCTTTAGGCAATGATAGTTCAGTCTTGTGCTAAAAATGGCTCAGCATGGCACCTTTCCTAAACTGTCATCAACGTTCTGTTAGGGCCTGCTATGGTTAACTCTGGAGGTAGCAGCCTCAATCTGACCCCAGTCTGCTCCGAGACACAAGCAGCCTTATTCTGAGGCAGCCTCGGGTTAGCACAACTATCCACCCTAGAACAGCATCGCAGTAAACTCCTTGGCATGGGATTTCTGGTCAAGATTAATCACAGAGCAAGTAAGTGCAACAGCAGAAAAGAATGTGGAAAGGAGCCTGGGGTAAAGTGTAGGCTTGAAGAACACTGGAGTTTGAATCCCCTGAAGCCACGTACAAAGCCTGTTGTGGTGACACAAGACTGTAATCACAGGCTTGGTATGTGACAATCTTTGGCTTCTGCGTACATCTACACACAGATGTGCTTGCACACACAGAACCTGGAAAACAAGTCATGCCTTCCACTTGGACAGTTGACCTGCACACGTGTGTGCACATACACACAGAACCTGGAAAATGAGTGATGCCTTCCATCTGGATAGTTGAGACAGGAGTTTTAATGACAGCCCCCTTGTTTCTGTAAACTCATCAGAGCACACTTAGGCTCCAAGCAGACAGAAATAGGATCACTGTCTCCGAAGGTCATTTCCCAGCGCCTCCCAGAGTGCCTGGCAGGAGTAGTAGAAGAATGAATGACCTGATGGCAGCCATTTGAAGCTTGGGAAGAAGGGCACTGGGGAGAGTGGGTGGACCAAGGGAGAAGATCAAACACCAAAAATTAGTCCATTTACTGGACTGGTTGATTAGATTAGTTACTTGTGTAATGAGGTGGAGAATTTTATTCATCAGAGATTCTCCTCTAGAATTGCTCTCAAGAAAATCAGTCCAAGCATGCCCAGTGGTCCCCCCTCCCTAACCCACCTCCTTAGGGAATTGCCTGAAGTTCCCAGGGCATGCTTATTCAATGAGCATACTCATCGACACACCACCCAGGAACATCATTGCATTAAAATTTAAGACATATGGATGGGGTTTCTTCGGGTTGCTATGCTGGCTGTGAACAAGTTTATCATTTGTTTCTTAGATGCCTTATCTGTAAAATGGGGATAGTGATATCTGTTTCATATCCATATCATCAAGTTGAATATAAAATCAGGGAAGACTTTAAATCCCAAAAGGTTTGGGGAGTGGTGTGCTCCCTGTTATCTGTTAACCAGTGGAGCAACCTACAACATTCTCAGCTTCTCTCTCAAGGTTTGCTATGTTCAATGGTTCAACCTACCCTCTAGTTTATTCTCCGGTTACCATCTTCACAGTTACTTTCTGGACACCAGCTGAGGCCAACACATAGCCTTTGCTTGCTCACAGCCACGCTGGCCTGTGTTAATACCTGGGCCTGTGAAATCACTCTAAAGGCTTGTTGCTCACAAGAATTTCTTCTCAGTCTCTTTACAGTCCCCCATCTGTTCTGTTTCTCACTGGGACTCACAGCAGAAGCCACCTGCTCTAGAGAGTTAAGTAAAATGAGCCAAACCCATGCCTCCACTTCCTAGGGAACCATAAACTTGTGGGCACTTGTGTGTCTCCCGTTTCTGCCCTCCCTAAATATGTAACTCTCTGTGTCTTACCTTCCATGGCTCTTTCTTCTCTCAGAAGGTGTGGGGCACACCCCATCCTCCATTTAAAAAAATCTCGCCATTCCAGCTGCTGACAGGAAGCATTTGTGAATTGCTAATGAGTTCAGGTTGCAGAGGGAGGTTTGTATTCCTGAAACAGTGGGTGCGGGATATTGAACTGTATCCATTTCTCATCTTCAAAATTCCTTGACCTCCTTGTTATAGGACTAGTCTGTGGACTCTTTTCTCTACGGGTCGAGCCCCCGCCCTCTGACCTGTACCATTCTAAATCTCTCTTTTTATTCCATTTCCCCTTCTCCCCCCTTTCTCAGCTCCAAGTTCCTCATCGTTCTGGTCTCCATCCAGAACTTGAGCGTTAGATCTCATCCTCACTCCCGACAGTGCTCGCCATGGGCTATTGGTTTGGTTTTTGTTCTTTCGAGTTTTTTGTTTTGTTTTCTTTTTGTATGTGTTTTGGTTTTATCTGCCTAAAGAAAAATTGTTTCCTCTTCAAAAATATATTTTCCAGCTTTGGGATACTTGTTGGACTTCTAAGATGGCTCAGCAGGTAAAGATGCTTGCCACCAAACCAACCAGGCAATGAGAGTTTCATCCCTGAGACCCACATGGTAGAGGAAGAAAACTGACTCCTATAAATTGACCTCCACATGCATGCTGTGGCATGCATGCACCCCTCACAGCCTTGTGGTACTGATTAAGGGTATTATGATTGTATCTTACAGCCCTTCTTGGATATAGGTCGCTCTTGGGACAAGGGAATTCTGGGATTCTTGTCAAAACTGAAACTCAAAACCTTGTGTGGAATAGAGCCTCAGTGATGACTGAATGTGAAGTTAAACAAGAAAAATCAGACAGCAGGAATCCATGGTAGGAGTTAATATGGTTCAGTCACCACTAGGTGAGATGAACCCAGACTCAAAGGGCTGCTTCTGACTGACCTGACCCTGGTGTGCAGGTAAGCTGGACCATGTCTGTGCTGTGTTGTGATGCGCCTGCTCCAGGAGCCAGTGGGAAGTGTCTATTTTCCCAGAGAGCCACCGACCTCTGGTTGAATGATGACAGGTTTTCACCATCAGCAATGAGATCTAGCACCGCCTACGACCCACGGGACTTGTCCTCTCCCTCCTGCGTATGGCCCTCCTTTCAGATCATATTTCCTCCAGTGAAACAGGGTTTTTACAAAGGTGGGGCAGAATCATGAACTTCTTTATACTCATCAATTAGAAGCATGAAATACGTACTTTATTATCAACACCCTGCCGTTCATCTTAATGAAAAGGGGAGAAGACTGGTTTGAGCATCCATGATAGGGGCTTCACAGCAAACTGCATGCTGGGAGTGGAAACGTTGCTAATGCTTATGGAGCTCTAAGCACACTAGTGAGGTCAACATACACGTAGCCTCACCAGGTCTTCTCGGTTTGTCTATACAGTAAGAATCATTATACCTCCACTCCAAGGATGGGTGGGCAGAGACCTACAGAGGACGATTCTCTGGGTTTCACATGCCTGACGATCACAAATCTGACACAAGAAGCCTGTCCAGCACCCTGAGAGCCAGATGTCCTGCATGTACCTTAAATTTATTACATCTTTACACTTAAAAGCAATCTATGAAACACTAGATTTGAATCTCTATAGTAAATCTGTTTTGTCATCCCCTTCCTCAAATCACTTACTCCCCTTTATTTCTCTGCATAATGGTCCTTGTCTCAGGCCATGTGGTTCCAGAAATAAAGACTACACATCAAGGCATTATTCCTCCTCCCTGACAAGGTCTGGACACTCAGCTTGCCTTGAGTGGACAGTTTGGTTGTACTCTTGAGGTTGTGTGAGTGACTCGTTCTGTCGCTTGCAGCTGAAGCATCCTAACTGGCATGTTTCCAGATCCCTGTTGAGGGAAAGGAAACCATGGCTGTTGGAAGGCCAGGACAGAGGAAGGCTGAGGAAGAACAGAACAACCTGAGGAGAAAACACTTCCAACAGAGAAGAGAAAACAGTCTGGCAGAAGCTGTGGGTGGGTGGGGGGCGGTGATGGAGAGAGACGCCCTTCCCCCCATACCACAATCAACCCTAAAATACCAGAGTCTACAGTGAGTGGCTTTTCTGTTTATTATAAAGAATGTCAATGGCACAGGTAGCCCTGAGAATTGGCAACAACCAGAGACTTTAACTGGTTGATCCAATAGCACACAGGAAGGCAGGCACTCATGCACACATGCGTACACACACACACACACACACACACACACACACACACACACACACACACACACCTACCTGCAGAGAACTCAAATTGCTGGACAGGTGACATACCAATGGTTCATTTTCAGAACACCCTGTTTTAACAATCTAAGGAATGGGAAGAATATTTTCTCATTATTATGATGGAATCACTTAGAAATTACAGTAAAATGGTTTTCACTTATTCCTCTGTAACCTGAATGAAATGTATTGGCAGTTAACAATTACGCTCTGCTATTTCTGCATTCCACACTAACTGCAGTGGACATTAACACTGATGTGTTACCATTGCTGTTACTGACTGGGCCAGATCTGGTCCCCTGATCCTCGTTTCTCTATTCTGAGAAGCATAAATGGGAGTTGCAAGTGAGTATCTGAAGACACATTTTCAACTGCTGTAGTTTGTCATTCTTCTAATTTATGTCCTGAGAGCTTCATAGCCATGGCGAATCGGCCCTTGCTCTGGGAACAACATTAAACAAGCTGGAGCCCATAAACTGATAGATAGCATCAAATGCTTCCGAACCATCCTCATCTTAAACAGGAGGGCACAGCTCTGTCATTCTGAAAGCCATCAACTACTTGAATTATGACTTTGATCAAAATGGTAACTTGTTATTCACCTGTCTGTCTGTCTGTCTGTCTGTCTGTCTGTGTGTGTGTGTGTGTCTGTCTGTCTGTCTGTCGCCTACCTGCCCGCCCGCCCACCCAAAGGGACTCAGCTTCAGGAGTCTGCTTTGGGACCATCTCACACGATGCTGGGGAAGACAGATCCTTTCTGGTTTTGGGGTCTGTATCTAACACTTCTTTGCACACAAAAACAAGTGCTTCCCTCTGACAGGTCTTTTCACCTCAGGTGCCCCATCCTGCTCCCATCAAACCTGCTTTTGGGAATTAAGAGATGCCTACATCTTAAATAACTCAGTCGTTAGAAGTGTATTTTGCACAAATTCCTACTTTATATTATGCAAATTCTAAAGTTGAAGTTTGTACTTTTTTCAAAACAATCTTGAGTGTTTACAATGTATGAAGGACACTTTTTACTTAAGAAAAGTACTGTTAACTCAAAATGACTTTTAAGTGATATCATGTGTTAATGTTCTAAATTAGTAAATTGTGTCATTTAAGGTGACTGCAGACATAGATATATGGGTTTAAAATAAATAATGAGAAATATGCATGTTTTATTCAAAATTTAACATATATCTCAATGCTCGTTTTATAATTTGTTCTTAGTTTTAGTGTTTTATTTGTGGAAAGTAATGAGTTGGACACCCACGAGGCATAGGTAGATGGATCTCTGGGAAGTTAGGGCCAGTCTAGGCTATCTAGTGCTACACAGTAAAAGCCTGTCTCAAAAACAAAACAACAAGTGTTGAGTGTAGTCTTCCTTGCCTGCTGCTTTGGTTCAACCCTTGCCCCCAGCTGCCTGGGCTCTGCCACAGTTGCAGTCCCCAAATAACACACAGGACCCTATATTAATTATGAAACTGTTGGCCGTTTGCTTGTTTCTTACTGGCTAGCTCTGACTTAAGTATTTAACCCATAATTGTTATTCTAAGTATTTCTCTTACCAGAGAAAAGGGTCCGGACCTCTTACTCCTATGGCGGCTACATTGTGTCTCCCTCTGTCTCTCTTTCCCAGAATCCTCCTTGACTCCTAGTCCCACCTATCTTGCTTCCCTATTGGCCAACAGTGCTTTATTCAACAACCAATAAGAGACAGATTTACAGAATTACATCTCCCATCAAACAAGCAATAAAATCATAAAAGATAAGATTAAATGCAAGAGTGTGCATGTGTATGTTGTATTCAAGTTTTGTGTCTTGGTGCTCCATTTATAATTTGTAAGTGTTGTGGGGTTTTTTATTTAAATTAGAAATATGCTTGTTTTACATGTTACTCCCACTTCCCTCTTCCTCCCCTCATCCCCTCCCCCCCACTATCTCATCTCCTTTCTGCTCCTCAGGGAGGGTGAGGCCATCCATGGGGGATCTTTAAAGTCTGTCACATCATTTGGAGCAGGGACTAGGCCCTCCCCCGTGTGTCTAGGCTGAGAGTATCCCTCTATGTGAAGTGGGCTCCCAAAGTCCATTCATATACTAGGGATAAATGCTGACTCACTACTAGAGGCCCCATAGATTAACCAGACCTCCAAACTGACACCCACATTCAGGGGGTCTGGAACCATCCTATGCTGGTTTCTCATCTAGCAGTCTGGGGTCCATGAGCTCCTCCTTGTTCAGGTCAGCTGTTTCTGTGCGTTTTTCCAGCCTGGTCTTGACCCCTTTGCTCATCACTTTTCCCTTTCTACAACTGAATTCCAGAGTTCAGCTCAGTGTTTAGCTGTGGGTGTCTGCTTCTGCTTCCGTCAGCTACTGGATGAAGGCTCTAGGATGGCATATGAGGTAGTCATCAATCTCATTGTCAGAGAAGGGCATTTAAGGTAATCTCTGAACTATTGCTTAGATTGTTAGTTAGGGTCAACCTTGTAGATTTATGGACATTTCCCTAGTGCCAGATTTCTCTTTAAACCTATAATGGCTCCCTCTATTATGGTATCTCTTTTTTTGCTCTCCTCTATTCTTCCCCTGACTCGATCTTCCTCTTTCCCCCTCCTTTTCTCCCATTCTCTTTCTCCTAACTCCGTCTCCCCTCCATCCATGCTCCCAATTTGCTCAGGAGATCTTGTCCCTTTCCCCTTCTCTGGGGACCACGTATGTCTCTCTTAGGGTCCTCCTTGTTTCTTAGCTTCTCTGGTGGTGTGGATTGTAGGCTGGTAATACTTTGCTCTATGTCTAAAATCCATATATGAGAGAGTACATACCATGTTTGTTTGTTTGTTTTTTTGTGACTGGGTTACCTCACTCAGGATGGTTTCTCTAGTTCTATCCATTTGCCTGTGAATTTCAAGATTCCATTGTTTTTTTCTGTTTAGTAATACTCCATTGTGTAAATGTACCACATTTTCTCCATTCATTCTTCAGTTGAGGGGCATCTAGGTTGCTCTTCCAGGTTCTGGCTATTACAAATAATTCTGCTATGAACATGGTTGAACATATGTCCTTGTTGTATGAATGTGCACCTTTTGGGTATATGCCTAAGAGTGGAATTGCTTACCTGGTCCCGTGGACGGAGAAAGGGACTAGGAGACTATTCCGCTGGGAAGGCATCTCCAGTGTGCAGTTCACAGGCCTCAGGCAGCTCTGAGCAGGGCACCGGAAGTGTGTTGTGGGTTTTTTAAAAAACTCATTCTTGACACCTGCTTTAATGAACCCACGTGTGAGTGATTAAGTTGGTTGGAATCTGCAAGCGCACTTGCTGTCCCAGACATGTACACATGCTAAACCGTATCCCCCTGGAGAATATGGTTACCATGCATTAAGTCGATTACACTGCTCCACTACAGCTCTTAAAATTCTGGTCAGCATTTCCCAATCAGATCTTGAAAAGTAATGAGGCATCATGGCAAAGTGGCATCAAATTAGTAGCTTATAGATAAATATGTGCTCCTCATTACCTGAAAGTAATAATACATGGAGGTAAATAAACAGCATGTCAAACACTTTAACCCATTAATTATTTGAGATGTTGCATATGTGTGTAGTCATTTCTTTTGAAACAACATGCCCAATCTTGTCGATGAATAAGTGTATAGAATGTCTAAAAAACAAATTAAATAGGTAAAGCATGCTCTATAATTTTTCAGATAAAAAGTGTGTGAGGAGCTAAAATAACTTCTTCAAAGAATTTTGATTAAATCCTTAGCAGTGCCTGAATCCCAAGGCTTTTGAATTTAATGTTTGCAGTGACCAGACACATTTTTGATTTGCTCAATTCATAGGAGGTAAATACATCATCTCCCTTTTCTCTGCCACTTTGACTCTTTGTTTATACCTTTAGCCAAAGGCAGCCCTGAGTATATGCTCTATCGTATTACTACTGTGCAGTGAGTGTTGATTCTAAGAGCTCTTTATACCAGAGCAACAGAAAACAGAAGCAAAACAAGAGAGGAGAGACCAGGAACCCGAGTGATGGTTTGTTAAACTTGGAGCATGTTTCAGGTGGGCGAAAATAGTGTTTAGAAACAATTAGCAAAATCAAACTACTTACTAACTGTGTGGGTCAGTGGTAGCGTGTCTGCTGGGGTACACATGACCCTGAGTTCTATCCATAGCACAGGTTAGACTTGCCAGAGTCAAGAAGATCAGAAGTTCAAGGTCATTCTCAGCTACATGAAGAGTTGGAGGCTAGCCTGAACTACACGAGACCCCGTATTTAAGATAACTTAGGTAAATCAGCCCAAAATTAAAGTAGCGTTATAGTTTGGAAATTACGTCTTACTTAGGATCTTGCTAGTTCTCTTGGTTTACTATGGGTTTGGAGGCCATGTATGGTCTTTACCCCTTAGTTAGTAAGATACTCATATATTCTATAATAATAGTTTCCCTGGATATCATTGTATCCAAAATCTTAAAGTTCTATTCATTAAAAAAAAAGAAACCCTGCTTATTTCCTTGATACCTTCTTTCTGTTTTCTAAAGTGAAAGAACTGTAGTTCAGGAGCCAAGTCTGGCCTGTGCAGTAATGAGCCAGGCTGTTGTGACAGTGTGTATGCCTGTGCTAGATTTTGCTGCTATTCTCAAGAGAGGTCGTCCCACAATATATTTCTATGAGGAATCAAGAACTCAAAATGATTTCATTCCTTTTATGTGCAAGATGGTCCAATCATCCCAGGGTGGCTCTTGGGATTCTGAGTAAACTGAGTCAGAGCACTGCTGGGAAGGGCTCATTTGCCCATCTGTACCACTGACCTGCTCACTGACACAGTCACAGAAATGATTGATTTCTTGATTCATGAAAATGTGTGGTTTATTCCTGCACGTGTATGGTTAATGACCAATAGGGCAGAGACTTTATATATATATATATATATATATATATATATATATATATATATATATAGAGAGAGAGAGAGAGAGAGAGAGAGAGAGACAGTGTCATTGCCTAGGGAACATCTCCCTGTCTCCTCCCTGACTCATTGTTAGAGATGCATTTTTCCCATTTGCTTTTAAAATCTTTGATCAGCTCTCTTCTCTTCAGCAGAGCAGCACCCCACCCACCCTCATGCTTGCTAGTGTGGTCCCTGGGTTGCACCTTGGGCGCAAGTCAAGCACTCATTTCTGCATCACTGGGCCTTCCTGCTTGATTGGCTTGTCTGCAGTCCTGTGAGGTTCACTGGAAAGTCCTGGGTTTGTTCCCTACCTTATGCCGTCATACTGTATTCCAGGTCCATGGCCCAGACAGAGGTGTGTTCCTAGGCAAGCTACCTAGGACGCCTTTTCAACCCTTTAATCCAGAATGACTTCAACTTTGTCACATTCTGTACTTTTAACATTGGTTGCTGTTCCTGCTGGCATCCTAAACGGCCAAAATAAGCATTTCTGATCTTTTTCTGCTACCGATGTTGTTTAGTTTTGCTCTATGTCCAAAGCACTATGTGTATGTGTGTGTACCTATGTATGTGTACCTGCATATGTGTGTATGTGCCTGCAAGTGTGTGTGTACCTACAAGTGTGCGTACCTGTATGTGTATGTGTGTACGTGTGCACCTGCCTGCATGTGTGTGTACCTGCAAGTATGTTTGTACCTGTATGTATGTGTGCCTGCCCGCATGTTTGTACCTGTGTGTGTGTGTGTGTGTGTGTGTTCAAAACAAGCTTCAATACCCTCACACAATCTCATATTTGTCAATCCGAAGTTTCTTTGAAAGATATCCATCTCTGAAAGATTGGACCATAGCCATTAACATCATCATCTGAGTCTCAGGGTTCAAATCCTGGCTGTTCCACTACTTCCTCGTTCCATGGCTCTCATCAATTCCTTTGGTGTCATTAGTCCTTGCAGGAGTAGACAGATACTTCCCCAGAGGACAGCAGGGTCAAATGAGATAAGCACACAGAGTGTTGAGTGTTCTGACAGAGTGCACACAGTGACGCATGACTCTGGTTATTCTACATGTCGTTTTCCTGTCTTCAGCAGGAAATGTTAACTTCAGCATGGTGAGTGGCCCAAAGACTTACACAGAAAAATGAAAGCCAACTTTTTTGTTAGAGGGAAAGTCTTGGGCAATCGTGTGCTTTGGCTCTTCCATGTTCATGGTGCTGAAAGTTGCCTTCTAGCACACTCTGTGTCTAATTGAGACAGAAGGGACATAGGACAGCTGTCCGGTGGTACAAATGTGTGCCAGGTTCCTCTGAAATACAGTTTTTCCAAAAAGCCAACAGTGGCTTTGAAATGCACATAGGTCTTGGTTGTCACCCTGGGTAGGGCTTTTACTTCTTCAGACAGGAGGGTTCTTCATCTCCAGCATGGGTGGCAGCTGCTGTTTATAACTCCCTGTTGGGCCACATCCCATCCAGACAGAAAACCCTCTGGGGCCAATGTCTGGCCTGGGAATGCTGCTGTACCCGGGGAGGGAACTGGTCTTTTTGAAGGGCAGCAGCCACTCGAGTGCAAATGGCATTGTTCGCACCACCAGCTGTACTTCATCAGGGTGATGGCGGCCCACCAAGGGGAAGGCTCCCTGCCAAAGGTGACTTGGTGGAGAGCCACGTGATCCTCCAAGAGAAAGCAGCCCCACAAAGGGCTGCTTAACCTGGACCCAGGCTTTCAGAGGCCCAGGGCTGAGTTGCAAATGCTGCAGTTGTTTTTTGCTGGCCCAAAAAGGGTATTCCCACCCCCACACCCAGATCTGACCATGACATCTCAACAGCAGCATTCCATTCTGTGCAAGGCCATTGAGGAAAGTAAGAAACAGCCGAAGCCCTCTAGTATTTTACACTCTAGTGACAGGCTAACACAAGGGCAATCACAAATTATTTTCGCCAGCTTTCCTGTGTGCCTGGAAAGGGGCCAAAGCAGGGAAGGCAGGTGTCTTCAGTCCTCACAGGAGTGGACAGACTCTTCCCCACAGGAGGGCAGGATGCCGTGATACAACCCGTAGAGGACTGGGTGCTCGTTGGTATGTACACCATGATGTGGGCTTTTCCTGTCTTCCCCGTGAAATATCGACTTCAGCACTGTGAGAGGCCCACAGGCTTACTTACACAGAAATGCCCTCCAAGTTTCTCCCCGGAGCAAAGGTCTTGGGAAGTCACAGGCTTTGGGAGATCCCACCACCCTTAGACTCTCTGCCTTGGAGGAATGAAATGCAACAATTCTTTTGTCATTTTAAACTTCTTATTGTGAAATAATTGTGAAATGATTTTAAACTCATGGAAAGGGGTGGGGGAGAAGAATATACTTTATGCCCCTTACCTAGATGTTCATGGCAAATTGCTGTAGCACTCTATTCTCACATGTGTGTGTTCATTCTATTGATTTTGCATACACACACACACACACATACACACACACACACACACACACACACACACACACATCCCATATGAATCAACTGGAAGCTAGCTGTAAACTCCTGGACATTTCATCCAGTATAGCCAAAAGACAAAGATACTTTTCCACTTAATCACAGAGCAACCATCAAAATCAATACATTAATATAGATACTTTTTCTCTACTAACCTAGGACTCTATGTACATTTCATTAATTGTCCAATAGTGGTCATAACAACGGAAAAAATCCCCATCTGTGTTTCTTTAGTTCAGTCTAGGATAACATGTTGCATTTATTCATTGTGCTTTTTTTTTGTTTATCTCTTTGGTTCCTCCAAATCTGGGACACCCCCTCCTTGCTCTTTCCCTGTCCTTTGTGACCTTGATAGGTTTGAAAAGCACCAGACGGTAATACTGCAGAATTGACCTCCATTTGGTTCCTCTGATGCTTTCTTCTATGGCAACAAGGATACGTATGTTTACGTTGCAATATTTAAGTCAAGATGTCTTCCTCAGTCGCAGAAAGGACATGACGTCCATGTCTTGAGGCTCACTATGGTCTCTTAATCAAGGGGTTCTGTGCCAGTTTTCTTCACTATAAAGTCATTGTTTTATTTCCTGTGTAATTAAAGCATATCCTGGGGAGAGGGACCTTGAAGCTGGGTAAGCACCTGCTCCTTTGAAATCAACTTTGTCACCCTGGGATGGTTCTTGTGTGGATGGAAAGTTACCATGACAGTTGCCACACTTTGCTCTTTCTAACGTTACCATTACTCTGCCTTTGTTACTTGACTTGTTGCTGACAGCAAGTGATTTTTTTCCCTTTTCTAGA